AAGTACAGAGATTGAGAAGACCAATAACTTGCCTCAAAATAATATCGAGCACCAAACACCATCTACATCTACTGAAAACACTGAAAAAAATACTGTTCTTGTGTCTAATACTAATATGTGGAATTCACAACCATCCACTTCATCTAGCGGCACGCAAGAACTTGTAATGCATTCAACACCTACAAAAACTATTATTTCAGCATCAAGAATTGAAGATTGCTTAAGCCCAGAAGTTCAAAATGTGGCAATGGATTTATCAACACGAATAACTGAACCTTCCCCAATGAAACCTTTGAATAATCCCCGAACCGTAGTGGAAATATTTTCATCAGTATTAGAAAAAAAAAACCAAGCTCAAAAACCTGATACGAATAAAAACAAATCTACTGTTGTTCGAAGACTAACCCAGTTTAGTTATGGGGAGGTCTTAACTTCTGAAGAAGTAATGAAAAGGTTGATAGAAGCGGAAGAAAAAAAAGATAAGAAAAATTCACTTGCAAAAAAGAGAACACAAAAAAATACAGATAATGTAAAAAAAACCAAGAAGTCAAGAGAATTAGAGGAAGTAAATCCAAGTCAAGTAGATAAAAGTAAGGATATCTACGAGGATAACACCGATGACGATACTGAAGAACAATTCATAATTGAAATGGAAATGGAAAATACACCTGAGGTAAACTACGAACCACCTAATTATAATGAGATCGTTCCAGGTTCATATGTGCTAGCAGACTTTGTAGGTGGGAAAAGAAATAAAACTCACTATACTTACCTGTGTGTTGTGAATAATTTAGTGGGAAAAGAAGAATTTTGTGTTACTGGAATGAAGAGTGTTAACAATATTAACACTGAATTTATTATAATTGAAAATGACATTTCAAATATTCCATTTTCTGCAATAAAAGCAATGCTACCACAACCTACAATTGAATCACGTGAACGCAAGCTAATTTATGTTTTTCCAGGTTATGTATCTGTAAATGAAAAGAAGTAGGTAGGCATTTTCAAAATAAAATATCTGTATTAAAACATGTCTTTAGTTATTGATTAGGGGTAATTGTAAACAACGATCTAGTCTGTTAAATTTCTATGGTTAGTTAGCTACCTAATTTGTTTACAATTCCCCGAAGTTTTACTCCATTTGCCTTCATAGTTTATTAAAATAGTGTTCACAATTACCCCAAAGACTTGGGGGTATTTGTAAACTGATGGGGTAATTGTAAACTTGTTTTTAAACAAATAAAGTCACGTTTTTAACATTTCATAGTTGCATAACGTGAAACAAAAGACATCAAATAACGTTGTTTTTATAATTTAACTTCGAAAAATTAACATTTCCATATTTTATGAAAATATACTGTCCAGACTAGCAAAAACCGTTTACAATTCCCCCACTTGACCCTAACAGGGCAGTATTATCGTTATCACTTTCACTACAATAATCGCTTGTTTACCTACCTCAGAAGTTAATTATATTTAGATTTGTACTTGTACCATAATGACTTCCTAATTATTGTAATCAATATTAATGTTTTATAAGTAAAAGAAAATAAGAAAATATTTGTTAATGTCTTTAGGAAGGGGTTCTATATATATTGCAACTGAATTGTTATACTCACTTAGTTTCCTGTACAACCTGGTCAAAATGGACGCCACTGAGGCCAAACGTAAAATTTAGTTGAACGTGTATGATTATTTTGTAAAAGAAAAAAATCATGGTGGAGTACTTACTTCAGTAATGGCAGTTCAACAAAGAACAGCGGATGCGGTGCCAGTATCGAAACAAACAGTTGTGAGGACATGTGCTATGCGAGAGATTGGAAGTGATTTAAAAAGAAATACATATCGCCGTTCTAAACCACGTAGGACGGACCTATACTAGAAAATAAAAAGCATACCATCCGATATCTGGATTTATGATATGTACGCAAATAAAGAGCACGTAACTCTAGATACTTTGTTGGCGGCGATAAAATTGAAAGACTTGTGTGATTTGGGCAGAACAAGCTTGTTCTATGCACTGAAAGAAATGGGCTTTAAATTTAAGATGACCAATAACAGACGGGGTTCGTGTGAACAAAGTCATGTGGTTTCCATGCGGAATGTGTTTTTGCTAAAATACATCAGAAATCTCGAATCCGAAATTCCGCATGATTTCGTTTTTTTAGACGAAACCTGGGTGTTTAGCAGAGGCGCAACAAAGCGTACTTGGCAAGATGACCGCGCTAAAAGTTTGCAACAACTCATAAGGCTTCAGATGGTAAACGATACATAATTATTCATGCTGGTGGCAGAAATGGGTTTATAGAAGGCAGCAGCTTAATATTTTCGAGTACCAACAAATCGTTCGATTACCACGACAATATGAACGCCGAACTATTTGAAAAATGGTTTGAAGAATCTGTCCTAAAGAAACTTGCTCAGCCCTCAATTATTGTTTTAGACAATGCATCTTATCACACGCGGAAAAGTGAAAAGATTCCAACAGCTTCTTCAACCAAAGAGGAAATTTCGAATTGGTTGAAAATGAAGAATAGACCATTTGATACTGCGATGTTTAAGGCCGAATTGTTAGAAATTGTAAAAAATCACAGTCAAGCAACCATAACTAAATATGTTGTCGATGAAATGACATTACAATATGGCCACGAGGTTCTGCGTTTGCCGCCTTACCATTGCCATTTCAATCCCATTGAACTGGTATGGGGAATTTCGAAAAAGTTTTACGATGACCATATTGTTGGTACGCCGGGAAGACCAGAAGATGTTCTTAAAACCTGGAACGACGCGTTAGCTAAAGTAACTCCAGACGTGTGGAATCGCTGCGTAACCCATACAGAAGAAATAATCAAGGATACCTTCAATCGTGAAAAAATTATAGACGATGTAAGGGCTTTGGTTTTTACTGTAAATACAGGAAGTGATGAAGAAAGCGATTATTTAAGTGAAAGTGACAACGACGCGTGAATTCATATGGACTTAATTCATGTCGATTATTATAATAGGTAGCAATTAAGTAAATAATGTACATATTTTCATGTTTATTTGGAACAAATGTTGTAATTTTTAATGTGAACTGATAAAATACAAGCATGATTTCGTATCGTAATTGGTGTAATATTTATATTCTGTTGAGAACTGCTGACTGGTGGGTGATTGGTGCTTATTGTTCTATTCATTTAAACAAGCCGTAAGGATTGTTTTGAACGACTTTCGCCCTTAAAAATCCGGTTTTTCCCATACATTTAAGATGCAAATCCAATAATACCATTTATCGCAATACTATTGGGAACACCCCCAGCGTTAATGAGAAAAGTAACATTATTTTCTGAATACACTATAGGTATAATTTTAGTCCACGGCAAGATGCTCGCCATCGGAAAATCTACGAGTGGCTATTGAAAAATATAAGGACCGGTACACGAGATCCTAACGCTCTCCTGGGTTGGAGGTGCGGTGCAGATAGCAACGTATGGCCCTCGACGCTGCTGAACGGTTACCAGACAACGTACGATATTCTTGAAAAAATTGTCAATGACGATAGCTTTACTAGAAAAAAACAAAAATATGTTGTATGGTAAGAAACGAAAATATAAAAAAGCTTTCGTTTTCTTTATTTATTTATAACAACAATACGATATTATTATTTTCTATCCAAGATTTTTCATCCAGTCCCCACCACTTGACGTACACTTTATCTTTCTTACACCAAATAGATAACGGAATACTTAGCTTTTTGCAGTTCCTGCTCATAAAATCCTCCCGGTATCGGCTTTCCTTTCATGTCTTCCAACAAGTACGTCACCGGGTTGGTTATTTGTGCTTAATATTATCAATTATTTTGTGAATATGTTGAGGTAAAGTTAAGTGACTATATATAATGTTGTACATAATACTATTTACGCTGTTGGCAAAAAACCTTTTGTTGTCCTTTTTTATGATTTTTAACTAGATTAAGATGAAAAAGGAAAAAGAATGAAAATACACTTTTGTTTAATTATTACATCTGATTATTAATGTAGACATTCCAAAATCGATTAGGGTAATAAATATCAACTATATAATTCAACAGAATAGTAATTATACACCAAGGTAAAGAAGTTGATTTTCTTAGCCGAGCGGTATTATTTCCCGAGACGTTTTACGTCGAGGGAAATAAGAAGCGAGGCAATGAAAAGTCTTCTCTGCCGTGGTTTATATATTATTTTATTCACTACTAGCAGATGAACTGTTTTAACACATATTTAAATATCATTAGAAAACACGATTTTAAGTACCTATAATAGATAGGTACTTTTACAAGAAGGCTGTGACTTTGACATTACATTATTTGTAAGTTGCCTTTTGCGTGTTTCGCTAATTTCTGTTAAATAAATTTGGATAGTGAATTTTCGTGCACTCATCCAGACATACAAGAGGCAGCAAAATGCGTGGCCGTGTCTTTGTAACGGTTAATTTTCTATATTTTCTCCAGAATCTAGGTTTAATTTACATTCAATTCGGGCGGCAGGTTGGGAATGTTTTAAGGGCAGGTCTACCTTAGAGGCTTACGTTCACTTCTTTCATTTTCCTTTCGAATGTAAGTTTCGCTCCTCTATCTGAGCTCTTCACTCTTCATCTTTCCTTGTTTTCTATTCTATGGGACGGGTTTCAGGAGTACTCTATTTTCTGTCAGCTCCAGGGGTTGGGCTATTTTTTTTATTGGGGATTTTCCTGGGTTTTAATTTGTTTGGGGTGGATTGTTTCGCTTATTGAGCAATATAGTGGGTTGGGTTTGGGTTTTTACTTTATGTCTTGTCCATTAATTACGGGTTATAACATTTCAATTTCCTAGTTCATTGTTCCTTTCTCTTCTGTGATTTCACATCTTAATCTTACTGATAAAATCGAACTGTTCACATTTAAAAATCTTCCTATTCTTTCTCTCAGCTTATCTAGGTCTTCTTTCTTTGTCATACAATTTGAATTTAGGAAACTTTCGGTTTCCTTATTTGTATTACCTAATAGATAAGGGGAATCCCTAGTTCTCTTGATTTTCCCCGAATTCATTCTTCCTGTGGCATTGTAAGACACTTGTCTGTATGTGGTGAAGCTACAAATTCTTAACTGGGTTTTATCCGGCTCATCTGTGAGGATTATCAAGAATTTAAGCTACATTTACGCCGTAATTATTATTTACTTACATTTCAATTGTTCCAATTGTGATTTGGCGTTTTACGCGTTGTGCGGATCATTAACCACATGGCAGCATAAAACTTAGGCTCGTTCAACACCTGTAGAGGTAAGCCAACTTATTACCATCTTGCACGGGATTTAGGCATAAATTCTTTTAGCCAGTCTATTCTCTCTGGAAATCAATTTTATATAATTAATCGAACGTCACTGGACACTACCTATTCTTCCGTCTTCGTCAGCGTCACTTCTATTTCTTCTATCAGAACTTCAGGATAGCACCAAGGGTTATCGAAGCCGAGGCACACCTATTGTTGTACCTACCCCGAGTTATACCAGCTTCCGAGGAACCATCTTCAGTTATACAACCATCGGCAACTAAAACACCAAAAGGTCAGCCACCTCTCCCAAAACTACCCCTGAAGTTACTCACTCCCTTTCTTCTCTTCCCTTACTCCTTCTTATCTTTTCCCTCTTATCTTATCTCCCTGTAATCTCTTGTCCTCAGTTATGCATTCATATCCTTAATCATTCACCTCACACATACCTATCTATTCAATAAAATCTGTTTATAATTATAATTTGTGTAAACTAATATTTGACAACTACCTTTGTAGTTCAAGTATAAAACTGTCAGGTGCAATACAACTACCGCTTCACGGTGATTCATTTCAACTACTTTAAATTTTTGTAAGACTAAAACAAGAGTTACCTAAATCTGAATAACTGCTGTCTGTCTGCAGCACTCTAATTGCACGTCTCGATGAAAGATCTTTCCACGGCAACCTGCAAACCTTTAACTTTGATCAATAACATTGACCGGTATACGTCTACTGGCACTAACCTTTGTTATACTATTCTTGTTGCCGTCAGGTATAATTCTCGCACCACCTAATTTTTGTTGTCCCGTGAAATACAAAAACCAATTTTATCACTTCCCCTAATTAACCTATCTCTTCAGAACTTTATATTGATTACCGAATAAATAAATATTGTGCACCTTTCTTTCTTCGCCTACTTCGTCTCTCCTACTTTCTTTTATTTCTATTTAGTGTTCCTGAGTCTGACTTCAGCCAGTTTCGTCTGCTTTGGAAGCGGAAGCAGAACCATCCACGATCTGTTTGATACCTTATATACAGCTTCTGGCGCCTGGGATTTTTTTTTTGCACACTTTTAGTTTGACCTCGACCTACACCGACGAGCGGCCGGCAACAGATCTTTGATCATCGCTGTAACCAGGCTACGTGTTTGTCCAGATTTTCCTTTGTGTTTGTTTTGTTTTCTTTTTCCCTTTCAGCGTGTCCCACGGATGCGGAGCGGTGACAGCCGCTAACGACCTCTTGCCTAAAAAATCAAAACATTATTACAATAAAATTTATTTAAATTTTAAAGAGTGGTGTCAAACAAAATGTGTTTCACAAGTTAGTGAAAATGTTATGTTGGTGTATTTTGAAGAATATCGCGTACAATAATTGTGTGATTAATTATAATTTTCAAAAGTAAGTTCTTTAAGTTCTGTTTGTTCAGTTCAATAAAATCCTTGTTTACCTCGTTAACATAACGTACAACGATAGTTATTTATTTATTGCCCCTAATTATAGGCAACCCAAATGTTAAATTCATTATCTCCTACTAGGAGAGAAATAATCCACTAATGGCCGTTTGCACCAACCAAGTTAGGGATTACCTAAGGCTAAGGAACGAATAAGTGAGTATTAGGTGCAGATTTCGGTTGCACAGTAACTTTTTCATTCCCTAACTCGGATTAGGTATACCTTAAATTAGGGGCGTAATTTCGAACACCTAATGTCGCCCTAGGAAGTTGGGCATGCGCAATCAGAAAAGTACGTTTATACGTCAAAATAAATGTAAAATACTTTTTTGGTTTTCTTCTTTTTGTTTGCTTTCTTCATAAAGATAAAGCAGATTTAGATGTTTGATGATGATTTGGAAATACTAGATTTAATAGAAAACGGTATTCTGCGAAAAGTTTATGAACGACCCAATTATTTTGATGATATGGATAATATGACCTTTTTTAAAAGATTTCGTCTTACAAAACCAACTGTTATGAGTTTATTACAGGAAATTGAAGATCAACTGGAATTTCCAGATGATCGGTGAGTCTGCATAGGTACTATGGCGTTCAGAATTAATGATTCGCAGGTGTATAGGCAACTAACCATACCAGGTTAAGAATTCTAACACAGCCCTTGTGCAGAGTTCGCACTTTCGTTTGAGGAAGACGAACCAGTTTTATTATACCTAAGTAGTTGTTTATTATAAGCAACGATAATACTTCTTTGTTATAAGTAATTTGGGAAAACCGGCTGACTAATTCTGTAGTTGTAAACAGTTTGCCTTCTATGCCAAACTAAAAGTTTTTCAGTGACAGCGCAAGTCCGATTTTTTAAGACCTGTATTTCCATTTCTATGTTTAAATAGGTTTACAAGAGAATTGAAAGTAATTTAATTTATAGCAATTAGTTTACTGTCCACAAGGGATGTATTTGATAAAACCCAAATTTTTATTTTATTCCAATGTTTTATTTCCAATTTTTGTGATTGTGGAATAAAACTTGAAAACGTAGCAAATATAATGCCACAGCTTTTGAATTTTAATAGTAAATGAAATCCAGTCTGAAGGATGTGACCATTTTTATTGTTTATTGAACATAATATCGAAGATAGATAGTTAACTTGTTTGATTGCATTTTCTAAGAGATGCACAAAATACGCAAATTTGGTGTATCGGTGTATGCCATAAAACATGTAAGAGGTACCGGGTCTTCATCAATTACTGAGACCCACGTGACCAAATTTAAATTTCCCGCTTTAAATATTTTTTCTTTATGTTGGTAGACACGGACAGTTGGTTAAAACAAAATACCCAAATTGCATATTTGTTTATTTCACCTCCTGTCAATCTTTGCTTGTGTTTACCGTTTTTTTCGAATTTCTTTAACATTATCTTAAATCAACAGCCAAAACAGTTCTTTTCAGAGCTCTTAACGCTACGAAGTTATTCTGATGTAAGTTAACAATTTTTTAAGGAGAATTGTCATTAAGTTATTCTGAATTTTTAGTGTATCGCTGTAGGAAGATGGTGTTCACACCAGAGCAAGATGCTTTTATTTTAATGGCACATTTCCGCAGTGGTAACCGAAATCCTGATGGAACTTGGAGCTATTCACTGCAATCGTGCATTGAACAGTTTTCCGAAGAATACCCTGATGTTAATATCGACTACGATGTATTTAAGAACCACAGGTCACGTCTAATAACACGATATGAAAACAAGCACTGCATTTGCAAAGGGAAGTCAACAGGCAGACCGACTGTTTTAAGTGAAAATGTTGTTAACGATATTCAACAACGAACGGAACAAAGTCCCAAAAAATCGATTTCTCGACTTTCCGCTCAAACAGGTACGGCTAAGTTTACGTGTATTTGTGTAATAGAAAATAAAATTTATTTTTTATAGGCCTATCGACTGGTACCTGCCACAAAGCTTTGAAGAAGGTGCTACACATGCATCCGTACAAAATTTCTTCCGTGCAACAATTACATGCACTTGATTACGATCGTCGAGTGCAATATTGCCACTGGTTCAACGAACGCTTAAACGATAACAATTTGTTAGACCTAACGTTTTATTCAGACGAAGCATGGGTACATTTGTCAGGTTACGTTAATAGCCAAAATTACCGGACTTGGGCAGCAGAAAATCCGCACATTTTTGTCGAAACATCTCTACATCCCCAAAAGGTTGGCGTTTGGGTAGCCATGTCAAGAAGGAGGATAATTGGACCGATTTTTTTTATGAAACTATAAACGGAGAGCGATATCGTGCAATTCTGCATCAAGCTATTGAAAAAATCTGCAAGATGATGAGCTACAACATGGATTTTTCCAGCAAGATGGAGCCACGGCACACACCGCTAACGAAACGCTTAGATACCTCCAAGAATTTTATGGCGATCGAATTATAAGCACTGGTTTGTGGCCTCCAAGTAGTCCTGACCTCACACCATTGGACTACTTTTTGTTTGGACGAATTAAAAATAATATATTTAAAAATCGGCTGCACACACTCGAAGAATTGGAAAGGGCGATACGACAAGAAATAAACGATGTGACGCAAGATGAACTCGAACGTGTATTTGAAAATATGAAGCGTAGAGTGAATTTGTGCCTGGAAGTGAACGGTGGCCCCTTTGAGCACCTTTTGTAACAATAAATAGTACAATATATTTCGTGTTTCTCTAAAATACTTAATTCGGCCTCCAAATATTACTGGGCTTCAGTAGTAACTTTCCTAGGGGAAAAAAATCAGGATGACCACTCGCGCATTTTTAGTTGCCTAACCAACTGCAGTCACGTGGGTCTGTGTAATATTAAAGATATTTTCAATCAATTAATAACCAATTTCCAATTTCTTCAAAAGAAAAATAGGGAAGACCTTAATTAGGTACTTTTGTATTATAAATGAACCATTAAATCTCATTAGATATATTGATACATATTTGCACCAGTTTTCATTGTTATAGGTAATGAGCGTTTAATTAGGTGCAAAGTAAGGGGTAAGCTTTCAATTACTTCGATGTTTATTGTAAATTATTCGCTAAAGCGGTAACATCTCAATTTTTGCGACTAATTTGGAGTTTTGTGTGTTTGTATTTAAAATGCCAAGGCGCCCGGGCCAAAGAGATTCGACGTTAGAAATTAGGGGGATAATAGTTGCATTGTGGGAGTGTGGTGTTCCTATTCAAGAAATTGCTGAACGTGTTGATTTATCGGTAAGTAAACTACAAATTTCGCCAAAGACAATATTGACATTGCTCATTCTTGCCAGAAACTCTATTTCACTGAGAAATCATTATACTCAATCATAAATATTACACCAGTGAAATTGTTTCATGTTCAGCATACCAAACAATTGGAAATCAGGACTACAATTTTGTTTTTTTTTTAAATTTAACCCTTATACATTTGTGGGGTTTCTACTTTAATGCTCAGCGTTCACTCGCTATTCTCAACAAAACTAATTTTCTCTTTTTCTATAAGGTTCAGCAAGTTCGCCGGTGGATACGGAGGGAACAGGATGGCGCAGAGGATAACCGCCCCTTAAAATCACTGCAAAGAACGGGAAGACCTCGGATTTTAACCGAAGACAACGGCATCGCTATTCGGCAATTTTGCAATGACAATCCATTTTCAACTTCCAACAATTTTATTATTCGAGACGAATTGCAACTTGCTTGTAGTCCCAGGACGGTGAGGAGAACGTTGCATGGCATTGGGATGCATTGCCGGATTCCCGCAAGAAAAACTTTACTAACTCCAGAGCATGCGCGTCATCGTCTTCAATTTTGCCACGATAATTTTGGGCGAAATTGGGACGTCGTGATTTTCAGCGATGAAAAAACCTTTTGTTCGAGCGAGGACTTCAGAAAAACCTTGTGGAGGGAAAACTGGGGTTGGATGAGCCGCTCAGGACCGGAAGAGTTAGTGCGTATAAACGGAAGATTCACATCACAACAATATGTGGAGATATTGGAAGATGTCCTGCTACCATCCGTTCGTGCAGTGTATGGAGAAGGGCAAATTACATTTGTTCAAGACAATTCGCCCATACATCGTGGAAGAATAGTGCTGTTGTAACCTGGATCAGTACATTACTTACTTACTCGCGATATAACATTCCATTTATTAACTACATCACACATTACATGTACAATTAACATTTACAAGTACACATGTCATATTGCATCGGCCGACGACCTTACATTTTCCCGCTCTGTCGAGGTTGTCACTCACTTTGCGGCGTTGCCGGGTGTCGCTACTATACAGCATTTCTCCCTTCTAAAAATAAGACAAAACATCTACATTACAAATTTAACTTTGAGGGAGCTTTTATTTCTCGAGCTGATCTACGCAGTGGGACAGGATCTGATAAGGGTAGCGAAGGTTGTACAGTGGGTTTATGTACAGACGTAGATGGTTGTGCGATCAATGGTTTTGATGGCTTCTCTTGTGCGGTAGGTATTAGGATGTCTGGTAAGTCTTCATAAGGCAACGTAATGTTTTCTGATATGTACGATTTCTTCAAATGATCAGCGTGCATTAGTCTTATATTCCCGTTTAATTTAATTAGATATGTAACTGCACTGACTCGCTGCATAACTACTCCTTCCATCCACACAGGCTTCCTCCCTTGAATAATATAGGCTAACACTTTTTCATTTTCAACAAATTCTCGCAACTTAGTTCTTCTCCTATCTTCATAAATCTTTACTTTCTCTTCCCTCTCTTTCAGTGTACTTGATAATTTTGTTTTTAACATTGTCAATTTTGTTCTCGGCTGTTGCTTTAACATAATGGATGCTGGGCTAATTCCGGTTGATACTGATGGTGTATTCCTATGCTTAAATATGAAGTTGTCCAAAATTAATTGAATTGATTTCGTACTGTTGTTCGGGTTTAATAAGGACTTCCGTAACGCTTGTTTGACTGTTTGCACATTTTTTTCAGCTAAGCCATTCGAACACGCATGTAGTGGTGGAGTTAGCAAACAGTTTATTCCATTGGATGAACAAAATTTCTTGTATTCTTCTCCTGAAAATGGAGGACCATTATCTGAAACAATCTCTTCTGGAATTCCAAAATGCAAAAAACTTTGACGCAATTTTTCAATCGTTTTTGAAGAATCCGTTCCATGTTTCATTAAATAGATGTCTAACCATTTACTATGACTATCCACAACAATTAAGAAATGATATTGCTTAAATTGTAAGAAGTCAATGTGTAATCTCTTCCAGGATTTAGATGTTTTCGACCACGGTGTGTACGGTACATCAATGGGTTTGTTTTGATGTAGTTGACACATTTCGCATCGTTTAACATGTTCTTCAATATGTAGGTCCATACTAGGCCACCATACTTCGCTTCTTGCAAGCATTTTCATCCTTGCAATTCCTATATGTTGGCTATGAAGTATTTCCAACACCTTTTCTCGAAGATCAAATGGAATAACAAGACGATTTCCCCATAATAAACATTCATTTTCAATATTTAACTCATGACGTTTTGAAAAATAATCCTTCAATCCTAAATCTGGTAATTTATCTGGCCATCCTTTTTTGGTATATTCTAAAACACGAGCTATTACCTTATCCTTCTTTGTAGACATGCTAACATCAGTAACTGATAATGGTATCTCGTTAAATTCTGAGAATGATAGCACGTCCTCGTTTAAAATGCTTTCCGAAGGTAATCTACTAAAGAAATCAGCATTTGCATTCTCATTACCTTTTTTGTATTTGATTTCGTAGTCATATGCGGATAATTCTAACGCCCATCTTTGTAATCTTGACGCGGCCAACGTTGGAATACCCGTCTTGACATTTAATATTGTTCTTAGTGGTAGGTGATCGGTAATTAGCGTGAATTTCCGTCCATAAATATACTTATGGAATTTCCTAACAGCAAACATTATCGCCAAGGCTTCTTTTTGGATTTGTGCATAATTTTTCTCGCTATTACTTAAGGTACTAGATGCAAACATTATTGGATGCTCGACGCCATCACTTAGGTGAGACATTACAGCTCCTACTCCATACTGTGAAGCATCCACTGCAATTACTATGGGTTTCTTGACATCATAATGCACTAAAAAGTTACTATTTACAATCATATTTTTACATTTTTCAAACACTCGTTGGTGTTCGTTAGTCCAAACAAAGGGAATATTTTTCCTTTCTAAGTCATACAATAATTTTAGTTCGCTTGAGGCCATAGGTAAAAATTTATTATAATAATTGAGTAATCCAAGAAATGATTTCAGTTGAGTTAAATCCGTAGGTGGTTTTTTCGAACAAATTTCATCAATTTTTGCCTTCATCGGACGTATACCGTTTCCATCGATTACATGACCAAGACACTCAATGCTTTCTTGAAAGAAATGACATTTACTCAAATTAACCTTGACATTATGTAACTGCAATTTTTCAAGTACTTTCCTGACATTGTCCCTGCATTCATCAATTGTTTGACCCGATATGATGATATCATCAATGTAGCACGCGCATGATGGAATATCTTTTAAAATATTGTCCATTACTGACTGAAAAATAGCTGGTGCAGACGTAATTCCAAACGGTAATCTGGTAAATCGAAATAAACCCAAATGGGTATTTATAGTAAGCAATTCTCTACTTTCCGGACTGACTTGCAGCTGCAGGTATGCATTCGACAAATCTAATGTAGTAAAGTATTTGCCTTTGGATACTGTATTAAAAATATCCTCACATAATGGTAAAGGATAATGCTCCGTTTTTAAATTAGGATTTAAGGTTACTTTAAAGTCGACACAAATTCTTATTTTCTTACTCGATTTCCTCGGGACTACCACAATTGGACTCGCCCATTCAGAATACTTGGTTTTCTCCAAAACTCCAGATTCCAACATCTCCTTCAATTCCATCTCCACAGCTTCCTTAATTGAGTAGGGAATTCGGTAAGGGGCATGGAAAATGGGAACTGCGTTCTCCTTTAGCACTAGCTTTACTCGTACATCCTTTATGAAGGATAACCTGTCAACATCAAACACAGTATTAAAATCTTTCTTAAATCTCTCGACATACAATTCTGACACATTAGGGTTAATATTAGCAATACAATTTTTCCAATCAGGATACAAAATATCCAACCAGGATCTTCCTAACAGTGTATACCTACATTCATTATCAATGATGATTAACGGTAATCTAAATACATTTTTATCTTGACTGCTTAATTTTACATCCACAATTACTTGACCTAATACATTCAATTCTTGTCCTGATACACCCCTAAGCTTCGCCTTATGCTAAGCTAAAGTTAACAAAGGGAAAAGTTTATTAAATTTTTCACTTGACATGACTGTAACTGACGCTCCGGTATCAACTTCCATTAATACTGGCTTATCATTAACTAACATTTCTTTTAACAAAACAGAACTGTTGACTGACTTTACATTATTGCATACAAGTGTACTTATCTTATTTATTTCATCTTCTTCTGTAGACGTCTCTTGCTCCTCTTCGTTGACGCACTTGACACCATTTTTTTTCCAACAGACGACTGACGTATGACCTTGCCTATTGCATGTGAAACATTTCCAATCCCTCGCACGACATCTGGATTCATCATGGAACCTTCCACAATGACGACACTTCCCTCGACCGGACTGCCGGGGCTGACTTGTGCTTGACATACTGGGCTGACCACGACCTTTGGGACGCCACTGACTTGACACACTTCTACGACTGGACTCCGACACATGATCCGTAACTTTCTCTACCAAACCACCTTTTAGCGCTTTTGCCTGGTTCTCTGCCGACTCTATTGCAATCGCCATCTGACACGCCTTTGAAAACGTAAGATCCTTTTCACATAACAACCGCCGCTGCGTTTGTTCACTGCTTATCCCACAGACCAATTTATCTCGTAATGCCTGATCCAAGAACGACCCAAAATTACAACTATTTGCTAGTTTCCTTATGAACTGCGACACTGACTGTTCTGGATTTTGGGTAGCTTTATAAAATTCAAACCTTTCTGCCGTTTCAGACTTCGTGGGTGCGTAATGCTTAAGTAACGCTTCTTTAATTTCTTTAAACGACTTTTTTTGTGGGGTCTTCTGGCGCAATTAAATTTTTCAATGTGCTGTACACCTGGGGGCCAGCTAAGGTGATAAATAACGCGGATTGCTTTGTTGATAATGAGTCATTTATTAAGAAGAATTGTTCCATCCTTTCCATATACGACACAAAATCGCCCTTATTCTTCTCGTCGAACTGTTCAATTGAGCCCACCAAATTCGCCATTTTATAACGTTCCTTCTAATTCTAATCTAACACGAACACGACCTTTGACTTGCACGTTGCACCTTCACCCGCACTTTTTCTTTGAAAGAAAATTATCCGACTCGTCGCCAATTTGTTGTAACCTGGATCAGTACATTACTTACTTACTCGCGATATAACATTCCATTTATTAACTACATCACACATTACATGTACAATTAACATTTACAAGTACACATGTCATATTGCATCGGCCGACGACCTTACATTTTCCCGCTCTGTCGAGGTTGTCACTCACTTTGCGGCGTTGCCGGGTGTCGCTACTATACAGCAAGTGCAAGAATGGTTCCAGGAACATCCGGAAATCGATCCCGATCGCCAGATCTAAATCCCATCGAAAATCTTTGGGCTGCAGCCATACGCCAATGGAATGCGGATGGAAACACGGTTGAACAACTCCATGCAAATATTATGGAAACTTGGAATAACTTGAGACAGAATAACATCTGCGAACGATTGGCTGACTCCATGGTCTCCCGGATGCAAGATTGCATTGAAGTCAACGGGTATTATACCAAGTATTAATCACAATAATTCTATAATTTATTGCATTCGTTAATAACATTACAATTTATTTTTTCATGTTTTCATACAATATAAAAATATTATCAATGTGCTCGTTTGTCCGGTTCTGTTAATTAGGTCTTCGTATATTATTGAATAAAAAGTTTAAAAAATCTTTTAATTATTACAGGTAATGTAATATAATAGATTAAATGGGAGTGAGAAATATTGAAGATAATTGGAATAATTCTTTCGTAAACTTGTTTGAGAAAGAATCTGGTGAATTATTTTCAGTGGTAGTATTCCAAGCTAAAATAAGACGGACATTTCAGCAGACTTTCCGAGGACAAATTATAATAGGCAAAAACTTAAAAAGCTTCGTTTTATAAGCAATTTGAATTTTATAAAGAGCAGCGGCAATTTTGCGCTAGATAACTACTGCGTATTATCGACAATTTGCACTAGTTGGAAAGTCAACGAATAAGCCTAGAAAGCTTACCTTCCCATCACTCCAAAACAATCGTCACATTTACCTTCTTTTTTCAACAACCCATACAGACTTCAGAAAATACAAATTAAAACATCTAGAAATCTAGAATACATGCTAGAAATAGTATCGTTTTCAATGGAGGTCTTTAATCGAGTTTTACTGCAATTTTCTCTAATACTTAGATATAAGTTTCACATGCATTGTGTTTACATAAAAATAGTGTTAATTACCGAAAATTGATAGCTATAACTTTGAATTGTGGGTAAAGATATATTCTCCTGATTCTTGAACAAACGTATTTCGTTGTAATACGTTCCTAAACCGATCTAAAAATTATGAAATCACGTGCATATACGTAGAACAAGTTGAGGAGTCAAGAACACTACAGATTAATAATTTATTGTCGAATATTGAGTTGGAGAGTTGCAAATAAGTGTGGCAACGCAGCGGAGAACACACGAGAGAGCGTGTGGTTAGTTAGTAGTTATTGCAGGGCTCCTCTGTAATTGCGCGTTGCGTTATATAGTAGAGAGTTGCTTGAGTGTGGTTCGATTTAATAAAGAGTTTGTTTTCTCGGTTATATCAACGTTAGTGTTGTTTGTTATATCCGTTCAGCCACTCCTACAGGTTACGAGCCCATTGCACGTTTTTATTATAAACGTTTGAGTAGGTTTTACGCGAGTGAAAAAGTGGTTGAAGATTGTGGCTTTGTTACATCGAGGTGACGCCATGTTTGACAACGAGAATATCGAGGTATGAGAAATTCTTTGTTTTGAGACACGAATATGTGTGAAACTAACAAATTAGGGTTAAGAGAATACGAAATTTTCTAGCTTTCACATCCTTTAATATTTGAGCATGAGAGGAAAATTTTTTTCCCTAAATTTGAGCGGATAAAAAGTACAGCTATCAAGTAACAAGCGATTGCATGGAAAAAAGGTACGGGAGGAGCATTTGAGCACGTAATGACTAATGAATTCTCGTTATGACAAATTCCAAAGCGTGTTACTTGAATTAGCAAGTTCGAAACAAAACTGCGACTCCAGGGCACGACGGCGGTTGATGACGACACGTTCTTGACACGTGCAGTCGGAGTCATGTGTCGGGGCAGTCTTTGTTTTTGAACTCGTATAGAATTGACGGTTGAGAGATATCACTTTCGGAGGGAGTGGATTATAATTACCTGGAATAAAATCCACTGTGATAATCTTTAGTTAATTATATACAAAGGAATATTGATTGGAGAAAATTAATAATGTTGACCGTATATTCCTTACTCAAAATTATTTATTAAATTGCTGTGCATTTAATTTTTTATTTTGTTTTACTTTATTGATTTTTATGAAACAATTGACTGGCCCAGTTTGCATGCACGATCGCCCAGGTGGTTGGATTGTCGTCAGCTTTGAATGACAATTTATCCTTTGGGGTGTGTGAATTGAGTTGCTGGAATTTTGTAGTAATAATCATAGTTTATCAATTTTTTTTATCAAGTTGTACTGATTTAAAATTTTTGTAAACAATAGTGGGCTAGCACACAAAGAGTAATATCTGGTAAATTCACAAATTTATGTTTGCGTGAATTTTATAGGAGACTCACAATGGAGGTGGTCAAAACGTAAATGAAGGGGATTTTGAGGAGAATGGAAATCTAACACCACATCCAAATAGCAATAGAGACGAGTTAGAGGACGAAAGAGCGGAGTCGGTGTCTGAGACTTCGTCTCGCAACAGGTCACCCACCCCAGGTAAATTGGTGGATTTGATTAAAAAGATTAGAGTATCTGTAAATTTTTTTTGAGTAGACGAGGATCCATAAAATTAAATTAAAAACCAGATATTTATTTGAAAAGTTATTTACAGATGTGACCATTGCTGAAAAACACGAATTTCTCCGAGACATGGCTGAGAAATTGCAAAGTGCAGTTTACAGCATGGAGAATTTGAAAGGAAACTCCAAAGACATCCTGTATAGGATGGAAAGCGTCGCTAAACAATTCCATAAATCGATGGGAAGACTGACTGAGATCACTGGCACCATCAAACAGGCCCTGGACCTGTCGACGAAAACAAATCATGAGTTGCTGAAGTTTTTGTTGCAGAACGGAGGTGGAACTCCGTCTGGAACAGGGTAAATCAACAGTAAATATGACCACATTGGACCTGAAGGGTCAGGTCGTCAGTCATCAACGAGATACAGCCGTTTTGAGGAGTCTAGTGGGGCACCTTCGAGTCATTCTAGAGTAGAGATCCCACGCACATATGAGAGAGAGGTAAATAAAAATATTTCTTTCTCATCGACTCCACTTGTCATTCCGAATCGCAATCCAGAGTTCGAGTTTACGAGTAATAGAGAGTTAAACAACAGTGTAACGGAGTTGGTTACCACCCTGCAGTCACAGCAAGGTGCTCCAAAGGTCTCTTACAAAAGAGATTACATTTTAAAGAGAGACACAAATTTTGATCTTTGGATGGACCGTTTGCATTCGGAATTGTCAACTGCGGATCTGCTATTTATTCTTGATCTTGAGGCACCCAGGCCAATTAATCTAGATGAAGCAATTCTCAACAATAAAAAGGGGATTGTGAGAGATATAATCATCAACCACCTGGATGAGACATATCACTCTAGAGTATTGAAGATTAGAGACCCAGTAGAGATAATCCAAACATTGAGAGGTTTCAGACGAGATGAGGCAAACCTGACTCCCTCTAATGCAAGCATTAAATTTTATAAGATGAAGATGACCCCTGGAGAACGTTTCATCAGCTTCTGCGAGAGGTTTGAGAAGGAATCGAGAGTTTTAGAGAATTGCGCTAATGCAACGCCCTTAAGCGCTGAAGAGAAAAGAGCGGTGTTCTATAACGCTGTTCTTGATTCCTTCCCGACATTGAGCGATGCAGATTCCACTTGCCAAAATGTGTCTAGGAGAGAATTTACAATTCTTTTTGTATGCGCAAGGAGGCTGAGAAAAAGCAGACCCAGCAGACACATAGAAGCAAGGAGTACGTACCCAAGGTCAATAGAGTTGAAAGAAAAACGAGACGAAATCAGAAAGCGAGGACGTGTGTTACCGGTGTAACGAGCTGGGACATCGCTCGACTGCTTGCCCGAAGACGAAAGAGGGACTGTGGTACTGTTACGGCTGTCATGACCTCACCCGGCACATTGCAGCACATTGTCCTAAAATAGCATCATCGAGTGGAGCCAAGAAGCCTTCTTTTGCAAGAGGAAAACAACCAATGAAGTTGAAAGATAAGAAGCTACACAAAGTAGACAAATCCGGAAAGGTCCACAAGAAATCTGCTAAGAATGGAAGCCATAAGCACTACCTTCTGGCCAAAAACAACAATAAAGGTGAGCGAGCTTTTCATATTAGTACTAGTAATAATGTCAATTTTGTTGCTGACTCTGGAGCAACCGAGCACATAGTCAACAATAACCTTGTTTTGAGCGATTTTCGTAGAGTAGCTGAGGGTGTCATAAAGAGTGCTAACAAAAACACCTCAGCTGATATTAAAATTGACGGAAAAGGCAACATGTGTGTGTTTGCCGACAATAAGAGAATAAGATTAACAAATGTGTTAGTTGCTAGAGATATTTCTGAAAATTTGATTTCACTACGAAGATTCGCTGAAGCAGGTTTTAAGATTGTCCTTGATGATAGAGTCCTGAAAATCATAAATAAGAGGGGCGAGACTATTTTAGATGGAAAATATGTCAAGCCTAATTGGGAAATTAATTTGAGTGTAGAGACAAAGTCAGACAATGCCGAGTCTCAAGTTTTTGAGGATTACACTTGCTTTGCTAGAATCGTGGGAGAGAAGAGATTAGAACAAATAGAGGTTCCTATTTCTTCTGGGAGAGTAGAATCGATTCAAAACGAAGCATCTGATATCCGAAATGAAACTGGGAGACAGTTTGTCACCTAATCGCTTTGAGGGTTCAGTGTTCGAGAGAAAGCACTTGAACGTAGATGACGATAGCGCAGTTTTTGAATTAGAGAAGATCTTATTAGGAAAATTCGAGATAGAGAGAGCAGAGTCGCGCAGTGTCAGTAAGGGCATGTTGTGGCACGTTAGATTAGGACACGTTTCACTTAGCTATCTGAAATTACTGAAATCTGAACCAGCCCTTAGAGGGGTTAAATTTGAGTCAAGCATTTTAGATTGTGAAGTTTGCGTCCTAGCTAAAATGGAAAAGTTGGCATTTGGCAGCGATAGAGTCAAGGCTGATAGACCGTTATTGAGACTTCACGGCGATGGTATGGGGCTATAACACCAACATCTTTTCCTGGAGGAAAACGGTTCATAAGTATTTTGATTGACGATTACTCCAGATTTGCTGGAGTGTATCCTGTCAAACACAAAAGTGAAACCGGAAAGACGTTAGAGAAATTCCTGATAACAACCAGGAACCTCCTTGGAAAAGATGAAAAGGTGTGTTATTTTAGATCTGATCAGGGGACTGATTACTTGGGTGGAGAGTTTTTAGAGATCATAGAGAAAGAGAAAATAGAACAAGAACTTTCACCCCCGTACACACCTGAGTTGAACGGTACTTCTGAGCGATTCATCAAGACCATTCAACAAAGAATTAGAGCGCTGATACTTGATTCTGGTCTGCCAGAGAGTATGTGGGAATTGGCTGCAGAGGCAGCGGTGCACATATACAATCGTACGCCACACAAAATTATTGGCTACAAGATCCCGATAAAGGTCTTGAATCCTACCCAACCAACAAGGAAATGTTTTAAAAACATTTTTTTAAATATTGTAGAACATATTTCAAAGATATTTTGTAAAACTTTTGAAAAATGTTTTAATGGCCGCAAAAACGTTGTACTAGCAACATATAAAAAGCATGTTTAAAATGTTTATGCAATGTTTTTTCAAGCAATTCAAAAATATTGAAAAACCTTGTTAGAAAGTTTTTACGACCAATTTAAATGGAAACACTCATTAGCCACATTTCAAAAACGTTTATAAAACATTGCAATAAGATAATAAACAAGTTTTTGAAAACTATTTTCATGGGTTACAACACATTTTTCTGGCGTTTCAAAAAGATTGAAAAAATATTTCGCAAAGGTTTTTAAGACCCAAAAATCTACTACAAAGCCACTTTACAAAATGCCTGTAAAATATTTTCCAAACAATTCGGAAATATTGAAAAAGTGTTAAAAAATCCATGCTTTAAAATGTAACAGCAATATTTCAAAAACATTTATTCAATATTTACGTTACAATGACTTCCTTGAAAATATGTCTCTGCTTCACTGTAAAAAATAATACAAAATATATATAAGAGATTGTTTGTAATAATTTAGCAGGTATTCAAATTTCTTCCCTAGCCTTTTCTGCAGCTTGTTGAGCTCTGTAATAGATATACATAATTTGGACACATAAATACAATAGTATTGCACTTTACCTTTTTAAGCGAGACGTTGATTGCGCCAACCACAATTGAATAGATTTAATAATCTCTTGTCTTGCTTCTTGAGGATATTTTGTTGCCACCGAGGCTGAAAATGAACAATACAATTGAACAGGGTAGTTACATGTCAAAAATTTACTTAATTATTGGACATGCACAACATGTAGACTCATTTCACATAAAGAACCAATGATCAGTACTAACGATCGGTCCAATCCATTGTATTCAATTATATTGTTCACATACCATCGGTCGACCAAAAAAGATGCTAGAACTTTGGTTCCGTCAGTGACGTGTATGAAACATGGGCCATTTAAAAAACTAAGATTTTAACATGTAATGAAACATTGTAGTTGCCACCGTATTTTAAATAAATTAGGATTTATTTTCTCTTAATATTCTTAACCATTTACAGCATTAAATTTTGGCGCCATTATTATTAGGACTTGCGCCTTTGGGCGATTTCTAATGAAGGAGTGTGCGCGCCCACCATTAAAAATATGACAACACTGGTTCTGCCACTTGTTGTGGATTGTATGTTTGAAATAGTTTTTTACATCACCCTGTAGCTGAAGACCAACTGGAGTTAGATGTAGTGTGTGTGCATCTCTGGCTGCTTTGTCAGCCAATTCATTACCCTCTATTCCTATATGTGAAGGTATCCAAATTAGGGTCACTTGAGCATCGTTGCTGACGATTGTGCGGTATATGTCATGAATCCTTTGTACGATTGGATTATCTGTAAATATGTTGCTGATGGAGTGGGTAGCAGAGAGTGAGTCGGTAAAGATAGCCGTATGTCTGTATCCTAGATCGATTGAGTGCAAGGCTGTATAGATGGCATATAATTCTCCAGTGTGTATACTAGTATTACTGGGCAGCAACTGTTGAATAGGTGTTTTGTTGGGCGAGATTACCGAGCAGCTGACATTGTTATTTTCTTTTGAGGCATCAGTATATAGAATGTAGTCAAAGTTATTAGTTTCCACCAGTTCTTGGAAAAGTTGTTTATGTATGGTTGTATGTGTTGTCCGTTTATTATATCTGTGTAGGCTCGTATTGATATTGGGCATTGGTTTACTCCAGGGAGGAAAAGTGGAAATTGGGTATCTACTAATTGTGCTGAGGTTTGTGTCACCCAGATAAGTACTCAGTATCGTTGATAGAGGTTTGATTCTTCCACTATCCATGGCACGTATTGTTACAGGATTATTGAAAATATGATAGACTGGGTTATTGGGATTGGCGTAGACAGTCGTAGCATAAGAGAGAAGAAGTTGTTCTCGTCTTAAATCAAGCGGTATTTCATGAGACTCACAGTATAATGCATATGTGGGGCTAGTTCTAAAAGCTCCCAGACATATGCGGATCGCAGTGTTGTGTATCGAGTTGAGTATCTTGAGAGTAGTTTTGCTGGCAGAGGAGTACACAATGCTACCGTAATCCAGCTTTGATCGAATGAGGGCTCTATACGCTCTTTAATTATCAAAGCGCGAAATTGTATTAAACTAAATGATGCAATAACAATTGCGAAGGATGGCGAGGAAAGTAAACCGTCAAATTTAAAGGTTTTCCAACAAATTCGGTCAAAATAACGCGCTCTTGTGGCGAGGCGTACCCCCTGTAAATGGGGTACAATTGAGACATGTAATGGTGCGATACTAATTGTATTTTAACATTAAATTTTACCTCTCTGATTGAATCAAGATATTTATCCCTGTGATGTATCCGAAACGTTAAACTTAACGTGCAGGTTATCTGTCAAAAACGTCATCTCGCCTATAATAAATAACGTTTTTTGGCAGATAACCTGCACGTTAAGTTTGACGTTTCCGATAAATCACTATGTGTGAATGACGTTTTTGACATATAACATGCACTTTTTCGTGATACAGCACAGTGCTGATTGTGTAAAAATAATAATTTTTTCAAGTTGTCGAGCACAAATTTCCTCAAAAACAGCTTGGTGGGTATCTCAAGAAATAAACCATATGTCTATACAGGGTGGTGCCTCGCGCAACGCAGCATAGGGATTTCAATGGTAATTTCTTTATAGTCAATTACTAGCTCCCCTAATTATTTTAGAGCAAAAGTCTAAATAAGTTTTTTTTAGAGAAAAAAATACTGCATCTGTTTATACTTTTAGTTATAATTTTCCATTTTTCAAAACCGTAGAAATCGACAAAATAAAAAATTACATTTTTATAAATCAGTGATGCTTTGGAATCTTTTAACAGACTACAAGCGCATCGCATCTAAATTATGGTTGTTTGGCGTCGAACGATTTTCATATTTAATTCTGTTACAACTATCCGATGCAAGAAAAAGCCGCAATTGGGTAATGTTTTTTTAGAGAATGTATGCTGCATCTGCATCAGATACTATTTGTTTATCAGAGAGAATCAGAGTACCTACATAATCGAAGAAAAAAAAACTGATTTGAAGCAGATTTGTTCCTAAACTTATATTCGGATTTTCCGCTACTGCAGCCAAAGCGTTGAATGTATTGTCGTTTTCTTGATGGTTTTAACGGACATTATGAACGTTATTGCACTTGCAGTTCTTTAACTAATTTATAAACAAGTATAAATTTAATATACGCCAAAGGCAAATAATGAAACGTGATCGCTGTTTTTTATGTAATTCCAAGGCATATTTGATTTATTGTAAAATGAACCTTTTTATTTTGTCGATTTCTACGGTTTTGAAAAACGGAAAACGAGTAATAGCATGAACAGATTCAGTATTTTTTTCTCTAAAAGAAACGTATTTAGACTTTTGCTCTAAAATAATTAGGGGAGCTAGTAATTGACTATAAAGAAATTACCATTGAAATCCCTGTGCTGCGTCGCGCTAGGCACCACCCGGTGTATATATACAGGGTGATTCCTATAGTACCTGCCACCGTTTGGGAGCGTGTAGGTGGTGCGTAGGGGAGTATTTTGATATAGGACACTTGGGGTCGGAAATCTAAAATAAGGGTGCCAGAGCCAAATTTACCTTCTGGAATTTCGCGCCTGTAGGTAGGCAACCCAACCGGCCGGCGGTGCACACGGAGCGATCTCAGGCGGCGATGTGTGGCTGACACTTGATCAGAATTTTGTTTAAACCCACGAAATTCCGTCTGCAACGACGCGTATCAAGTGAATAAACACTATGGCACGTTTTACTAACACGGAATACGCGGACATGCACTTCATGTACGGATTGGCAAATGGTAACGCACGAGCTGCACGGCGAGCGTACGCTGAGCGGTATCCAAACCGTCAGTTACCCTGCAGACAGGTCTTTCAAGAAGTTCACTTCCGACTGTGCGAGACAGGGCAATTGCAGGTAAGCTGACGGAGGCTTAACTTTACACACAGATTTGATGATGCACATCGATACTTGGGTCA